ACTCATCTGGAGGCGCACGCTTCGGCAATTGGTTGCGTCGATTCGTGATTCCGAACTTCGTAGGGATTGCTCAGCTGATTGGGCATTTACTGCAGGCGAGGATGGATATCGTTTAGATTTTCAGTCGGTATAGTCGGCCTTTATGGTGCATCTCTATATGAAGAGCGTCTGATTGGAAAATTCTTAGTAGGGCTACACTTAGGGGGCGTAGTATGTCATATATTTCACATGTGCATAATTATATCTTGTCATATTCTTCCACGCTCTCACGATGAGCGTGAATCCGATCGGCCTTTCGAAATTGCAGCGCCGCTTACTGGAAGCGGCGGGGAAAACAATAGTAGCAGAAGAGACGACATCTAGTAGTAGTTTGGAGAGCACAACACGAAGAGCATCTGACTCAGTAGTCGAAGCGGCGGCAGAATATTTTGAATCAGGACGAACAGAGGCAGACACAAGAGTACTCAAAAAAGTAGGCATTTATGTGCATGATCTAGCATGGGAAAGAATCTTGAAGAGGATAGACCAGGGAGACGTGTCAGAAGTTTTGGTTATACTTCAAACGGATGGAACGACGAAGAAAACTCTGGCCTGCGAGCCAGGGTTTAGAGCTGCTGGCACGCTAAAATGGATGGTGTCCAACGCTTCGGTCAAGTTGGTTCTGGGGGAAGAGGAGCATGCTGTAGACCTGTGGCTACCTACTCATCTAGCCGGAACTGCTCCGCGACCGAAGAGTGATCTCCAGCGGAGCAAGTTGCCGATCGATAGTACTCTCCGAGTGAGCGAGAGCTACGACAATGCGGACCTAGCGATGCGGCAACTAGATGAATGCATGGCGAAGCTATGGAAAAAACCAGTAGTAGTAGTAGCGCCGACAGATAGCGGAGGGTCGACACAGCTGCAGCAGCTTCACATGGTGCTACTTGCGGACAAAAGCCCTGGGATCGCAATTCTATGGGCAGACCAGTGCAGAGTACACTTGATCGCCATATGCAGCAAGGCTGGATATGAGAAGTTTGCCCATATCGTGGGCTTTGACCCAAGGGCATTCGAGAAGGAAGTCTACTGCATTGTACTACTTGTTGAGGGGTTCTTCTTCTCATATTAAGCTTCTGACGTTTCAGCTTTGTTATGATTAATTTCTTGATTTTGATGATTGCGAGAAACTTCAGATTTAATTTACTTTCCTCTTAAAATTATTCGTGTCTATGGCAAGCTAAATTCAGAAACTAACGTTATCAGGTCCATATTTGTCAGGAATAGTTTCTCCTCTCAAGCATCGTCATGGCTGGCAGTATGAGTTGTAAATTTTTACTTTTCAGGCATGGGGAATTAATGAAAAGAGCATCAGTATTCACAACGCGGTGAGCAAGCACAGGGGGCATCTCTTTCCCGAGTGGGGGCCCGGCGATGGCTTTGATTCCGATTCTGAACTTTGGAAGTTCATGAGCATCGCCATGAACAAGCGAGGAGCAGTAGAGGAGTTGAAGGGGATGATAGCAATTCACAACAACAAAGTAGTAATCAACATGCCGGACCACGATCCTCCAGCGGTGCGGCGGAAGCTTCACGCCTTGTTCACGAAGTTGCAGCTACCGACTTGGACCAGGTGGCTTAGCTTTTCGAATTGCGTCGGCGATTTATGCATGCTTCTTGCAGTTGGATTAGGATGGGTTTTGCATGCGGTGCATGAGACACGGGGAAAATATGACCGGCTTCAGCTGCCGGCTCCATATTTCAACAAACAGAAGTCAAAGGGTATTACTTATTTAAACTAGACTGCTGCGTCAGTACATACAAATCTTCCTACTCAACTTGTTGCTGCTTGTCCAATTTTTCAATTGCTTTTCGTTCAGGTGAAATTTTTGACCTTCTGCTGTATCTGCTGTGTATAGCGAAGTTTACTGAGGCTGGTGAAAAAGCAAATGCGCGGTTCTTGGACGAGCAGCACTTCTTCACGCTGCCGGAAATGAAGGAAAAGTACACAGTAAGCCACGATGCTGCTGTGGAGTACTTTGAACGAGGCGAGCAATTGAAAAAAGACCTGATGATGATGATGCCGGGGCGCGTGGAACCGTTTACAGCAGAAGAAAGTGATAAGGTGTTGTTTAGTTTCATTTGTTTGCTGCATAAGTGTTTAGGACTTCCTGCTCAGTTGAACTCTTCTGATTTCGTCCAAGGAAATAATAAACACCCACGACAATTCATGCGTTTCCTGATCTGCTTATTTCATTCAGGCGTGACGTTTTCTTCGTCCTTGAGTTTCTGTTTTCACGAACATGCAACAAACGACTTTCTTAGATATCCCGAGCACGGCGCGCGGCGGTGACAGCCTTGTGGGGTATTAGAGCAGCTGTATCTGAGGTTGCTTTTTTGGTCGTCAACGCGCAGGACCAATTTCGAGAAAAGCTTCGGCAGTCGTCTGATGATGCTGCTCTTGATTGGGCTTTGGAGTGGGAGGCGAACAACCTGGAGATGGGCGGACTTGCAGATATCAACATGCGGCACGTTTCTCGGAGGCTAAGATCTTTACCGAGCAGGAGTGTGCAGCTGCGGTGGATCAGGTCTTTAAAACGGTTGCTCAATGGATATAGGAGGACTACTGCGGCGGTGGAGCGGCGAATTGGTAGGGCTAAAACGAATGCCAAACGCCGCTTCCTGAGCGGCGCTGTGGGGCTTCCGACTGTGGATTGCCTTACAAACCGGAAAGACCTAGTAGATTTTCGCGCTAGTGTAGAAGAAGGCGTTGAGTACTATGCTGCGCGTGATGCACGAGAAAATATGGACTCTGATCAAGAGTCTGCACTTCAGCTACCCGCTAGAGCTGCCCGGTATATGCAACCACGAGACTACGACATCATGACAGCAAAAATGCTGAAGAATCCGGAACTAAAGGAGTTGACGCCTAAGTCGCGGCTGCGAAGCGTGCGTGGTAAAATTAAAGTGGGTGTGAGTGTTGTAGTTACGGATGACGACAGGCGCGTGTATCAAGAGAAGTACGACGCACGATTCGCGGCGGCCGCGGACGATAGCGACACATCAGACGATGAGGCGGAGCGTCCTGCTGCTTCGCAGAAGTCTCTTCTGATTGCAAAGAAGTTCTACGACGAGATTGAAGATCAGGCGATGCAGATGGTGATCGACATGCGAAATAATTTCGAATGGGGCAGTAAAACCCTTTGTGCAAGAACAGACCGGTCGCAGCAGGTTGTCCGTCAAAGCTCAGAGGAGGTAACGCTGTTGGTTCGAAAACCTAATGCGTGTTACCAGGTTGGCCGGGTGATGTATGCAGTGAAGAAACAATTGAAGGAGGGAGATTCGCACCAGGAAGTAGTAGAACAACTGGGCGGCTTACAGTTGCCTATGCCGGAAGTAAATAATGATGTTGGTGAGGAAGTAGTTCCAGACGATGACGTTGCTGCGGACAGCATGAAGGTGAGTGTCCCGGAGGACATAGCAAGCTCCGCGCAGACAATTTTGTGGATAGGAGCAGCTGTTTTCGTAACACATCTGAAATCAGGGAAGCAGGTGTGCTTTCTGGTCACGCATCAGGACATGAGTAACTATCATTTCAAAGCAGTAGAACTGATTAGAGACGCAGGCATTCGGCAGCGGACGCTATACAAGTTCGGCCGTCTAGTTCTTACCACGCAAATCCCGTCGCATGCAAAGGCTTTCGATTTATCGGACGTGGGAGTTCATCTCTGCAGCTTTTGCACGAACATGTCGCGGGGGGTCAGGATTGCGGTGAACCCTCAGCCGCTGCAGGTGCAAGGACAGCGAGCAGAGTCAACGCATGCGAACACAGTGAAAGCAGAGCGGCAGCCAGTGAGCAAACTGGAGAAGCGCCTTCTTGAAGTAGCAAATAATCAGTATGTAGATCCTTTTGCGCCTGTTGTTGATCTTCCTGAAGCAATTGTTACTCGCAAGCAGAAACGACCACCCCAGCAGCACGAGGAGCAGATGCAGAAGATTCCGGACGAAAAACGTCAGAAGCCTAATAGTCCGAAAATGGGAAAGCAGTCTGAGAAACTGACGGAGGACCAAAGGTAGAAACACGACCGGGAGCGTGCAGAAGCGACGAAGCAGCTCAAGCGCTGCATGCGGGTAGAGGGTTTTACAGTGAAACTCAACGGGAGTGTCACAACCCAGTCGTACTACGGGCGTGCGCATGATCGTTTCGAAGTCAAGTGCACGGACCCAGAAATGATGAGAGATTTCAAGAAAATGCGGCAGAATAGTAATGTGGACTTTCTTGCGAAATCGACGGAGAACTGTAAGCGTATTGTGGGCTATAGGGAGGAGGAGCAAGATTTTGGTGAGGCGCTGGGAGGATTGTGGGCGTGCCGCACGCGATTTCTGTTGCAGAACTGTAAGAAGTATGTAAAAGATATCAAGTTTAAGAATACTGACACTACATCACTGAAACAAGCATGGCAAAACGTTTCTGCGCCATTTGTGGCGTATGCCAAACAGAAAGCATATGGTGACTCAAGATTATTAGACCGCGTGAAGGAGATGGAATTAATTAAGGACAGCTGCATGAAGCATTTAAAGTTGAAGGACGTGAATGGCTATGATGATGTGGTTCCGCAAGCCTAGAAGAAAATCGTGCTGAGCTGATTTCGAAGACCTGGGTTCTTACTTCTGAAGAGCCAGACTTTCCATGTGGATTCTGGCTGGATTCTGCGTGGATTTTTTACCATATTCCTTTGTGTTCGGGATGGATTGAAAATGGATTTTCGCGGTAGTGCAAAATCCTGTACAATTCCTTTAGAAGTGATTTTTAGCTAAATAATCCGGGCAAAATCCAGGCAGAATCCAAATGGAATCCTGAGGATCTTCCTGTGTCTATTCTGGATCTTGGTCCAAAATCCAAATGAGATCAGCCAGCCTAAACAGGGGACAAGAGCGGGATCATCTGGTCACATTTTCAATTAATTGTTTTTCGTTGAAAGTGAATAAGTCTAGTTCTCATTTTTTCTAATTCGAGTTTCCATCGAGCCAACTGCTTCGTCAAAGCCTTCCGTTAAATTCTCTCTGTAGCTTTGAGAGAGATTTCGTGCAGAAGATATTCGTCTTCAGTCGTTCCGAGTGGTTCTCGCCGCAGGCTCGTTTGCTTTCAAAATGAACGCTGCGCACCATTTGACGGAGGAGCAAGCGGCCAAGCGCCGGAAGCTCCAAAAGTCTTTGACCGAAGACGTCACCGACAAGATCTTGCGCAACCCAGTCTTATCCTGGATCGTGCCAGAGAAGGCGGTATTCATATTTTTTCTAAACCAGTAGAGACCTGGGGAGAAGCTTTTACTTTTTTGCTGTAGAGTTCAAATAGCGTTGTAGTTGCATTGATTTCTTTCTTTCCTCAATCCTTTCCGTCATAAAATCAGTAGAGCTTTCTTCTTGGGTACTTGGTATTTATCCAAGCCAGTTGCTGTCTGTCTTCTCGACGAATCGCTTCTCTTTTCACAGGAGCACCTCAACGTGACGAACGCTCTGAAGCGTGTGGTGAAGGTCCACAAGTACCGTCAGTCGACTATTGTAGCCTCGATCGAGGGAATCGCGAATGGCAGCATCCACATGGACGATATGAGCGAGGACGAGAAGACCATTAGGTCCGCTTTTCTCAAGCTCGGAGCATTGATGTTGATGATGCTCGGTGAGAGCGAGACCCGCAAGATGGTGACCTGCGTGGTTCGCTGGAAGGATACGATTGCGGCTTCTACCTGGCAACGCATTCACGTACTTTTCTCTCATTTCTTGACTCTCGTATTGGTTTTAATAGGACGAGTGGACTCCTGGTTGTAGTGTTCTTCAACATTGTGCAACAGTCTCGCGGTCGTATATCCTAAACAAAGGCCAGAGATTATTTTCGTCATATCGCAAAACATAGTCACCATGGAAATCGTTTTCTTTTCTTCTTTCATCATTTACCCTGCGCACACTCGTCACGACAGACTTTGCTTCGCCGTAAATGCGACCTCCTGACGTCCGCGCAGCAGGCTTTTGCGACGATTGAGGAACTGCAAAAGGTGGCTAAGAACCACCCCGACCAGCTGAACGAGTGTGAATATCATGCAGTGGTGGCATACTGCAAAGGGGTGGTTCGTGACCGAAAGAGCGAGTCTGTGGAGTTGAGGAACAAAACGCCAGTGATGATCGCAGACTGGTTCAGATTTCTCATGCAATTGCTTATGATAGTACTTGCGTGCTGGAGACCTCGGGCTATCTTTTTGCACAACTAAGTCGGTCAAAGTTGTAGGCTTTTCTCTAGGAGTTCAAAATGCTTAGAGATTGATCAGCTTAAATCAACGCAATCGATTGCAAACACCGACCATCGGGCAGAGTTCTTCACGTTTCTCTGAATTGTCAACACAGGAACGAGAAGCACCAATCGATCTTCGGGGGAACCTTTCCGACTCTTCTGAAATTCAGAGACGAGATCAACAACTGTGTGACCATGTCCATTACGTACGACGACTTGATTGGGCGCTTGCGCCAGCAAGGCAACGGCCCAATTCGCGACAATGCGCCAGAAAACAACTCCGCGTGGTACATCTGGTCGAAAACCGTGAAGGTACTAGCTTTTCTGTCTATTTTTTCGGATGATCTTGAAAATTCAAGTCGTTGCTTCTTTCTTCGCCTCATGTTCTACTCGATTATCACAGATGCTGGAGGATGCGCAGCTTGAAGTTGTGGCGCAGGCTTTCAAACGCGCGTTCTTGTGCTTGTTCAACACCACGAACGACCCGGGCCTTCACCCGGCCACTCTGTCAACCTATGCCGCTAAGCTGAAACCGGTCTACGACAAGCAGCTGATGTGCGACTGCTTCGAGGCGCTGAGTCGCAACGTCACCGACTTGGCTACCTGGGTACTTTCTAGAGCTTACACCTGTTTCGGTAATGTTCGTCTAGAGGGTTTCGAGGTTTGAAGATTTTCTTGCAATTTTAGCAACAGAACCTCAAAAATTGATGCTGTTTGTCACAAGAATCTTGGTAGTTTTCGCCATGGAGATGAGAGAGATACACCTTCAGTCATTTCCTCACTTCTTTGCACATTGCTGTGCTGTAGTTTTCTCCTACCCTTTCTCCAGGTGGACGACGGCATGCGCAACGGTCTCTGTCGTGTTTGCGAGTATTTTACCGATGAAAACGTGGCAATCCCGGTGCAGATTCGTGTCATGCGTACTACCATGGAGAACGTTCGTGTCGCCTATCAGCAGGGAGGTCACACGAGCAAGAAGGGCACGTCCTTCTTGAAGGACCACGCTTCTCAGCCGTTTATCGCGCTAGTGAAGGCGCAGATGCAGTCGGAGGCAGTACGCGAGCACAACGAGACGGTTGACGCGCTTGCCATCTTGGCCGAATACCTCAATGATGAGCATGCGAGTCCCTTCAACGCTCCCGCGGTGACCCATTGGAAGGCCAAATTCAAGGTCACTCAGCCGAAGACCTGCGTCGAACGCATCAACACTCTGGTGCACTTCTTGGAGAAGTTCACAGGCGGCGCTCCCATCGGTGATCAAGATCCAGCGAAAGCCTGCGGATACCGCGATGACATCGAGCCACTCCTCAGGGAGCACTCTTTGTTGGACGGACCTTTGAGAGCCTTTCTCAAAGCGTGGGTCACGAGCCGCGACAGAGTTGCTGTCAACGTCTGCGAGAACGCTATCGCTACTGGTATGAAGATACTTAGTCTAATCGTTGTAGTCATAAGTCTCCGGGTACTAGAGTTCCTGTCATGACCAAGCAAGTATCTTCGTGTCTACTACTGGGCTTGCTTATTAACCTCTGGTCGACCATTCTTTTCCAGGTACCAAAGCTGACGCCGAAATCGGATTCGCTGCCCTCTCGGATACTTGGCATGACCTTGCCCCTCAAGTCCAAAACGATTTTGCAACTCGAATCGCCAAGATGGGAGCTGCGCAAGCCCAACAAGGTCCCCCGCAGGTCGCTGCAGCAGACAACAGCTTCTAACGGTGAAGGTTGGCCGTCGAGGTGGTAGCAGAAGAGTGAAACAAAATGAGACTGAGTCTTCGCGCAACAAGTAGCGAAGCGTTCACTTTTCGGGGTGGTTGCTTACAAGTAGATAGAGCTTCAAGCTGCTTTTTCTCGTAAGTATCAACAATTCACACAAATGCTTGACTTCTCGTTGCTGCAGGATGGGGCAGCGTTTGTTATCCCATTCAGAGTCGACTTCATGCTTATGAAATTACTGATTTGAGTCCTCGCTTTCAATAGTCATCGCGATCTGTTGTAGTTGGGATTTCACTTGTCTGGTCTTGATCAATGAACGAGCAACTATTTTCAACGTGAAAACTCATGCACTGAGGACCGAGCAAGTTTTATATCTATGAGTACGTGAGTTATAATTTCAGTCGCTTAATTTTGTAGCGGTACAGGTAGAGCTTCACCATCAAAGCAAACTAATGCGAGAAGTATGAACCTAAGACCCGCCACACTTGAAGGAATGACTTTTAGTCTATATGAGGAAAAAGCAGCGAAAGAACGACCTGAATTGAAGAAATAAATCCAAGCCCTATATGTTAAATTTCTACACCTTCAGTATTGTTTTGAGTGATTCCCTAGTCCTTGTTTCTGCTGTTGCTATCGTTTCGGTGCATCTTCGAGAGTCCGCTAATGTACAGTCTGATAACATGGTCGCACCGTTTACGCTCATCGTCATGTTTGAAAGGTGGATAGATATAGCAGAAGGGTCATGAATTTTCTACATAATAACGAACTGCTAACAGATGACAGAACTACCTTGGTTGATTATGAAACGGACCTGATTCCCCGGACCTTTGGGCGCTTGTTCTCTTCGAATTCTATTAGATTTCGCGTGATTCTTGTGTCTAATGTTTCTACATGAATATTCTTCATTTATAAAAAATGGTGCTGCTATCTCGAATGAAGTGGTCTGCTCCTTCTTGATAGAGAATGTGAGTTGTCTAATCGTATAAGACTACCTGAGTGATATCGCCTCGGGCTTCGAAAATGAACTAGCGGACTTATCTGATCGACCTCCCTTTCTTCCCTCTTCTTTCGTGAAGTTATCAGAGAATCAGAATCTTTTGAGCTCCTAAACTACCTGGTCTATCTTATGCGCGCTTATCTTCGGCTCTAGTAAAAATGATGATGATAGACTGAGACACTTCAACCAATCCCCTCAAGTCCTGCGATTGTTGCAGCCTGATGAAGACAGGCGATGAATTCCATCCAGAAATCTGTGGCCGCACTAGAAACCTTGGGATGCTTGTTGTCGTTTTCTTCAACATCTGAAGCCACGCAGAAACCTTGCGAATGAAATGAAAAAAATTCCCTGAATAGAAATACTCTCCTCTATGTGATGGAAGAGGATAGGTCTCTCTGAGATCATCAAAGCAGGCATGGCTTGCCTCAGACATTCGATCTTCCTCGGCTTCGCGTTGTTGCTCGTTGGATGTGAGCGAGGGGATGAAGGCATGAGGGAACGCCCAAGGGTGTCGCTGGATGTTTGTCTTTGGATCTTGCTGTCGCTTCGCAGTTCGTTCTCGTTGTGAATCTAATGATGAAGCAAACGAGAGAAAAAAAGGCACTCCAGCGGAAAGAAAAAGCGAAGCCCTTGACGTAGATGGGGCTCCTCTGCTCTGTCTTCGGATAATGTTCTTTCCGAGCTGTAAAAAGTATCTCACTATGTCAGGACTTTGGGCATGTCGTACCTTGGTGGTAATTGTTTAATGATAAAAGGAAAAAATAAAAGAAACATGTCGCGCCGATTTCCGCAGGAGAGCGGTGGCATCTTGTGCGCTGCGGTTCCAGTGCTGACAGCGGTGGCCGCCATCCCGCCTCGAAAGGGGTCTCGTTCCTCTTCTTGCAGCAGAGCACTGGTGCGGCGTCGAGAAGGCGCAACTCCACACGGGCAGCACCTACTGCCTCTGTTGCTTGTTGCGATCATGTTGCTGCAGCGTGCCCGGGTGGCGTTCGTCGTCGTGCAAATGATAGCCGCGAACTCCGTCGCGAGAATCGTATGGAGGCAGTGTTCCAGCCGCTTCGGTGGATCGGTCGAGGGATGAGGCGAGTGTGTCGGTGGTTTGGTTTCTTTCCTGAGAGAGTAAGGGTGAGAAGCGAAAAAATTTCTTTGAAAATCCTGCGAATGTCCGCCAGCGGTATCTGTAGCAGGCCGTTCTATCCAACGACTACCTCCCGGATGCAGAACAAGAACTAGATGAAGTCGCCCAACACCTTGCGAAGGCTCAACAAAAAGGGCCACCTAAGGCGAAGGCAATGCCGCAAAAAGGGCTCGCGAAGACAGTCACCTTCTCGCAGCCCAAGCCGACTCGTGCGGCTCCATACGGTAATGCGCACCCTGGCAAAGGGTACACACCCGAACAATGGCAGCGCGCCGCAGCGAAAGGCCCGCTCAGAGCTCTGCACAACGGAAAAGGGAGTGGAGCTAAATGCTCAACGGGCATGCCTGCCTTGACGGAAATGAGGAAACAGATCGAACCCGAAGCAGTGCGCACGCCTCAAGTCGAAGAAGAAGGGCCCTCTAATGCAGACGGGCGAGCGTGGCAATACGGCAAAACGTCGCCGAAGTGTGACTATGGTTGCCCGCTCTTCGAAGACCCGGCCATGTCCAACTACATGGAATCAGCGGCAGCCCCGGACTCAGAAGCGCAAGTCCCTTTCGATACGCTACACTGGTATGCAATGCTGCCACCAGCACAAATAGGACGGACAGACCCGAAGCTCATCAGCCCACTAGTCTACAGAAAAGTCCGACGGGTCGCGATGGAAGCTGCTGGGCAGAGCTCGCCTCTCACCGAGTTGCCCCTCGCCGAAACTAAGCGCTTTCCTCCCATGCATCTCCTTCATGACAGTCAAGCCATGAAGATAGTAAGCGCTAAGGTGAGCAGTGACGAACATGCTGAAGCAGAGAACTACATCGACGCGGTCGCCATCTTATCTATCAATGGCTTCTCGACTAAGTCGCTCGATGACACGAAAGCAGGGACACTCATGCATGACCTGCACATGATCCCGGCAGCCACAATTAACCTCAAGACAGCACTGCGCGACGTAATTAACACGATGACCAGCTCGCGCCTCTACCTTCGCCACCCAATACCACCAGGCTTCTTCAACCTCGAGACTGACAAGCTCAGCATCGTTCTCAAGAATGCAAAAAAGATCTTAGACAGCGTAGTCACTATGAGCGACCGGGTCCGCGAATTCGCATCAGAATCCCACAACAAAACTACCAATCTCCTAAGCGGTCTAGATCTCCCGCTAATCCTCCTAGTCTCAGCAGGGGCACTTGACTCTAACTTCCAGCTCTTTCATGACCTCCGCGCGGATATAAGTGCCTGCCCGGACCTCGCGAAGAACCTCAATGATGCACATCAAACAAAACTTCTCTCACAAGTAGCCTCATCCATAAAGCAGAAAGGATCAGCTATCAAAACAATGACACGCGCGGACTGCCTCGACATGATAATGATGGCGCAACGTGTCACACCTCTGGACACCTTTCGCAAGCAGAACAATGAGACAAAGCGCGCAAAGAAAGGTAAAAGCTTTGTCGTCGGGTCATCTACGAGCAACCCTGCAGGCTCGTACCAGTACCCGAAAAAAGGCGGAAAGGGAATGAAGAAAGCGAAGAACAGCAAAGGAAAACCTCGCTCCTCCCCCTACACTCCTGGCGGGTGGGCGTACAATCAAACATCCTACTGGGACAATCGGTGGAACAACTGGAACGAGTGGAACGCCTGGGGATCGTCTCCCAGTCAGAACTCGTGGGATCGCTACCCCGCATATAAGGGTAGCAAAGATCGACCCAAGGGCGACTACAAGGGCACCGATAAAGCCCGCCACGAGTATGCGGAGAAAGCACTAGAGCAGGTCACATCTAGGGCCACTATATCGGCAGACGAATGCACTGACGACGTCTGTAGATCACACCTCTGCAACCTTTTCGGCTTACAAGTCCAAAACGCAAAAGGACAGTGGAAAGTCTCAAAATGCACACGCAATGGCTGTGATCACTCGAGGGCGGAACAGTTGCACAATGCCCACAGTAAAGCCGGCGGAGGCGCCGGCAAAAAGTAACCAGGTGCAACCAAATCCCTGGTTCCCCCCCCCCTCCCTCTCCTTGTCTTACTACTGGGAAAACATAGCTCTTTCTTCATTTCTCACACAAGAACTTCAGTTACCAATTAGAACTACACTCACTCCACTCCAATTCAAACTAAAATTGACAAACTAAACTTTTTAACAGGTTGGTGGCCGCTTTCAATGCCAGAGGCTCACCTCAACGCGCGACGCCCCCCAGCACGAGTGCACCAGTATGCAAGCCACTTCATGTTTCAGCCGGTTTGTACGAAATGCAGGAAATTCCTGGTCTGCCCGTGCTGTAAGCTGAGACCTGGTTAACAAAGGTGGCAGGAAAGGTGGCGCCTCTGGTTGAAGAGAATGCTTCATGATCACGAACCTAGATACAGGATCTTCATCAAGATGATCGGCCACAGTGCGCCCTCTCTCACTGTGCGTTCTTATCCGTGAATTCTCACATTGAAGATGCCACAAAGAAGCACTCTACCTGAATACAATCCAAAACTAAAGTAATATCGGTTAGCATATACTACCAACAGACAAAGCTCTCTGCGTGTTCGTCACCTCGCATTGCGAGTTATGTTCCACCCCGACTGGTGACTAAAAAGGTCCTGTTTCTCCTCGGACCCACGCATCCAAATTCAAATCGGTACCAATGCCAAAAAATAGTCGCACAGGGAAGAGCCAGCGTCTCCTCTTAAAAGTATGACTAAACAGGTATAAGAAAAAAGAGACACTACACAGCCTACCCCTAATGCGTCTCCCCTCGCCTACATACCAGACATAGCAGGCATAGTTGTGAGGATTCTAAGCAAAGAAAAAATGAGAGACGACATGATCTGGTGCTTCGAGACCGGCACCTTCACAACGGCGAGGAAATTCCAAGCCACCCGGCGCCAAATGAACGCATCGGCCGATCAGGAACGGGAGCGACTCAGTAAGGACTTCAACACCTTTCGCCGCATCTTGACCACGCACCCGGGGTGGACCCACGCGCAAGAGCGCGCAGATGCAACGGAATCTCCACAGGTAGTCCCTATGAACACGTAACCTCGTAGAACTCAACCCCACAAGCTGACTCCTCTCACTCTCGTCGATCCATCTCACAGGTCAAACACCTCAACGATGCGCCCCGCCCTGACGGGTATGAGCGCCGATCATCCAACAAGTTCCACTACTGGGCAACAGTTGCAAACTACCTCACGCACGAGCAGCGAGAAGACGTATATGGAGTAGGTGGCTTTATGAGTACCGGCTTTCCCTCCGCAGGACCCGTCTACAAGTATTATTTTATTCACAATCTCCTTAGTCACTCTACGACATGCTCTAACTGACTCCAACCTCCTCTACTCGAAATACGCGACGACTATCCTTATCTTTCCCCGTCAAACCTCTTGACAGATACGGCGTCTGGCCCCACGGCCGCCCACTTACGACCTCGGAGCAAGACCGTCTGGCTACATGCCCCAGCACTAAATCCAGAATAAATGAGGCAGCTGCCTCTCTTCGTCCCTCCCTACGATCTGGGCCGTATGGCTTCGAAAGCGAAACTCCGGAGGAGCTGCGGAGAGGTTCGGAGATAATCAAAGCCTCAATGGAGCCCGGTGCTCACTTCCTGAAGGCTTCGAAAGGGGTTGAGGTGAATGATAGTGGAAAACTTGTAACTAAAGAGGGGGCTTTGGTTGATAGACTAGTGCCAATATTTAGCCTCGGGCAAAAATACAATGAACAAGAGGGAACTTGGGAGAAAGTCCGCACAATAGCTAACGAGAAAAAGCTTAACGAAAGGCTCTCTGCCATTAGCGAGCACATGGCTCTACCAAGCATGCCGACTGTGCTACAGGCAGTTGCGCAATGCATGGCGCCGCTTGTTCATGTGCCTATGATCCAAACAAAAAGCCACTTCATGACTCAAATCGAACACGAACGTAAGCAGTCGGTGACGTGGCAAGAAATGTCGCGAATCTGTGGTGGAGTCCCACCGACTCCCACAGAATCCGACAACGAGTCCGCCTTCGTGCCGGTGATTAGTAAGATAGATATGAAAAGTGCCTACTTCCAATTGGCCAACGACTCCCCTCAAGGGTCGTATGTCGTTGACTATTGGGACAACGAAAAGAAGTGCACCCAGTATGCGACGACCTCCGCTATCACTTTTGGCAACATCCACTCGGTTTTCCACTTCTCTGGGGCGGTCAGCCGTTTCCTTGAACATGTTCTCTCGCATATTTTTAAAGTTCCTATCCTAGTCTACGTTGATGACGTTCTTATCTTGACAAGACCTGAACTTGCAGAAGTCACACATGACTTTGCTGACATGTTCCTCAGGCACCTGGGATTAATTATGAGTGAACCCAAGCACCACATTGGTAAAATCTCTATAGCCACGGAAGTGCTAGGGATTAACTATACTACGGCTGATGCTAACCGTGGAATAGTCTCAGTAGACATCCCCGCAAAAAAGAAGCGCGAGGCTGCGATCTTGGTAGATGACATAGGTGAGAAAGTACTTTTGAACGCCGTCACTCTTCTCGATATACAAAAGGCATCAGGCACTGCTGCCCACCACCTCTTCTGGAGGAAGTTTGTCCACTGTGGGCCTTATACGGCCAGCATCTACCGGCTCCGTGCAGAATCTAACTTCTTCCAACTTAAACAATCGCAAAAGCTCAGGCATGCCCTTGCGACGTCTCTCATACGTGCTGCCTCCGCTATCAACGAGGCCCCCCCTCTTGTGATATCGCGAGATCGTCTCGGGGCGGGCTTTGTAGAAATTTACACTGATGCTTCTTGTGAAGCAGATGAGGTCTGGTTAGGCGGCGTCGTGTTCACAAAACACCCAGACTACCCGGACCCAATACACTTTTCTTATAAGTTCACAAATAACAAGGGCCCGCACCAATTTGCGCACTCGATACTTAGGCATCAAAAAATTTTTTTCTACGAACTTCTTGCAGTCTGGCTAGCAATACAGCACTTCGGTCAAATCCTTCGAGATACAAACATTATCTTCCACATAGACAACCTCGGAGCAGGCTTTGCCCTGACGAAAGGACAATCAAACTGCCTCTTCGGTAACCTCCTAGTCTCGTTGATTACAGACGCACTCCATGACCTCAATGCTGCATCCTACTACGCTTGGGTTAAATCCGAGAGAAGCCCTAGTGATGCTCTCACGAGAATGAATCTCTTCCCTCGTTTTATAGAGCTAACTGGCAGCACGTCTATCATTGAACACGACCCAGATAGTACCACTAAACAAAGCGCTGTCCATGCTTGAAAGCACAGCAGATCACGTGACCTCCTTGAAAGACCATCTAGCATCGATACTGTTTAGTGACAAGAAAAAAGATGCCGCCAAAAAGAGCAGCGAATCTTCAGAGGGACACGCAGGCCCGGCTTAATTACGAACAGGAACTACGCATCTGGCCACTCGGAGTATCACTAATTAAGTCTACCACGATGGCGGACAGGCGCTCACAGTGGGCAGCGTTTGTATCATGGTTCAACAAGACCCACCCGGGTGACAAGATCTGCATCCCCAGTGAAGCGAGGCGCAGGACTCAGATATATGTCCCTTACATTACCGCAGTTGACCTCTTCCTTTTTGGTAAACACCTAATTGACTCAGATATGTCCAAAAGCTACCACAATCGCCTAGGAGTCGCGACGCAGCGTCTTAAATCCCTTAACAAGTTAGAATATGGAGACCCCTTTTGCTATGACAACCAAAAAGAATTGTATAAAGCCCTCAATAGAATACGCGACGAGTACACGCGAAGAAAGGCTCTCCCTATCCACTACGACACCCTGCAGGCTTTGCCTCCGCGTGATCTCAAAGTCGCACGCCTTTGGATCGCGGGGGCATACCGCACCCACTCAATGGCATCCATCTCAAGTGCTAACGTCCAGACGTACCCTGATGACCCATCTTGGGCCCTTATCGCTGTGCCCAAAACCAAATACAACCCTGACACGCAAGATATCTTCACAAACTCTGTCCCCACCACTCTCGTTTTTCATGATGCCGCTGTAAGACAAGAATCGTACCTACGTAGTGTAGCTGACAAATGTAGAACGACGCCGCATGGCTTTCGCCGATCTGCCGCTTTGGTAATCTGGCTCATGATTAAAAAGCACTGGAATGCTAAGGCTCACGCTGACACTCCCCCCCACATTCTTGCAAATATCGCTGACCATTTTGGCTGGGAAAAAACCAACGCCAAATCTCAACTCCACAACTACACAAAAGACTGGCACCTCTACACTGCCTATCGGTTTTATTTTCCTCACCCCCTCATGATGTGGATTCTTAATTATGAAATCCCTGAAAATCCAAAACCCTTTTGGTCTTTTCGCGAGTAACAATCTCCGGCACTACCATCGACATTCTTAAAAGATTTTTGGCGATTTGCCTTCTCCCCATGCTTCTTCTCTTACTACTGAAATCCTAAGACGTTGGAGCAACAAGTCTAGAAAATCTGCTGCCTCGCCGGAATGCTCGACAAGTCCTGTGCTCGTCAGCCTTCGGAGATTTTATAGCCCCCGACTCCCAACACGGATAGGCGGCTGCATTCCATTCTGTGAATGCCTGCCAGAGTCGGTTCCTAACGAAGGACTTCTGAACACTGAGTGTGCAGTCTCACTATAATCTTAGAACTAAGGAACTGCACTCGGTATCAGGAACTGATCCTCGGTGTGTTTGAATAGAGCAGCGTAGGCTCTGTCTAATAGTGTAATGGTTTGAGTGTAGACCACTAATTCTATACAAGAGTCGAAGGTTGCTTTGCCAAAAGATAAGCAAGATGAGAATATTGAGAAAGTAAAGCATTGGTAGTGGGCTGGAGTTTCTTGATTCCCACCCACGCACTTAGACCTTTACTCCTGCTCTAAGCGCTCCCACCCAAGGACTTCTGAACACTGAGTGTGCAATCTCACTATAATCCTAGAACTAAGGAACTGCACTCGGTATCAGGAACTGACCCTCGGTGTGTTTGAATAGAGCAGCGTAAGCTCTGTCTAATAGTGTAATGGTTTGAGTGTAGACCACTAATTCTATACAAGAGTCGAAGGTTGCTTAATTTTTGGGGATCTTATTCAATTTTAGGGGATCTTATTCAATTTTTGGGGATCTTAGGTTTAGTGTTTTTGGGGGTCTTAGGGTTTAGGAGATCTTATTTAATTTTAGGGGATCTTATTCAATTTTAGGGGATCTTATTCAATTTTTGGGGATCTTAGGGTTTAGGGGATCCTATTCAACTTTAGGGGGTCTTATTTAATTTTAGGGGATCTTATTCAATTTTAGGGGATCTTAGGGTTTAGGGTTTAGGGTTCCGGGGATCTTATTCAATTTTAGGGGATCTTATTCAATTTTAGGGGATCTTATTTAATTTTAGGGGATCTTAGGGTTTGGGTTTAGGGTTTAGGGGATCTTATTTAATTTTAGGGGATCTTATTCTGTTGGAACATTCGAACACAGACTGTTAAGTCGCGTCTAGTTTCTCACTGAGAAACGCTTGAGTTTGATACAGATTGCACTAACAGCCTGAGACAAATGGTCTCTGGCTGCTTTGATCCCTGTGGATGTTCATTGGGGTTGCAAGGGGGGAAGTCTCAGCTTCTTCATTGGGATACCATGACGCATGGGGAGGCTTTCATATGCTTCATATGGGAACGCTTATGCTATCATCGTTGATTCATACGATCACCCATGTGCTCTCTGAACTGATCAGAACTGACAAAACGCCACGAACCTGATTACAGCTATGAACATTCGTTATTTCTGCTATCTGAATACGTTGGAGGTCCTTTGCCTGTTGATCGTTGATTTTGGAACCATATGCATTTAGGTCTGTAAGTTTCCTTGAGATCTTTCCGGTTGTGCTTTGTCCTTGACTGTGTTGAGAGACTTGAAACGACAAACGAGAGAGAGAAGGGAGAAACCGCCGACACCCGCGCCAACTAAGGCCAACGCGTTGAAAATGGTGCCGGTGGGTACCTTGTTCGCCTGGCGATCTTGGTCATTTTGATGATCTTCATCCTTCTGATCTTTGTGGATCTTTGTAAAGTTTCAAGGATTTACGACCATGGCCAACATATTCAATCTTAGGGGATCTTATTCAATTTTAGGGGATCTTAGGGTTTGTTGGGGGTCTTATTAATTTTTGGGGATCTTATTTAATTTTTGGGGATCTTATTTAATTTTTGGGGATCTTATTCAATTTTAGGGGATCTTATTCAATTTTTGGGTTTAGGGTTTAGGGTTTGTTGTTCTTGTACGTAGTTCCGTTGTGAAGTAATTACTTCGCGAGGCTGTGGAGGTTGTTCCTTTACCACCTGTGTTGCCGTTGTGTAATGATTATTTCTGCATATTATCACTTGGATTCAGTATAACTTGAGTAAAGTCCCACGATGGATGATACAAATCTCACTGGTCGCGTCACTGTTCACTTCGACAGCCCAAAATACTACAGATCGCGCCGACAGCCGTCGCGGGCATCACATGGTTTACGCCGAGTTTTCGGATTTTTTCGGCAAATTAATCTGTGACGAAGGCGTCAGTCGAAGCGACTACTTGACACAGAGTAAACTTGTGAAAGTCTTCTTCCAAGATCTGAGGTTCGACAGTGCCCGTCTGAGCGCCTCTTTCGATCCCGGAGACGAGCTCTCGCAGTTTGGCATTCGCAACGCATCGTACAACAAGATTCTGACGACGATGTCCGGGATCGAGTCGTGTCCTTTAGACTTTGAAAAGCTGGCTTTGCGCAGCCACATCGTCCACGGCCACAGCGGTTTGGCTGGTTTCTTCAGAACAGTGGCGGACTTCTACAGGAGTCAGAGTCTGCAACAGTTTAGCAAAATCATGCTTAGTAGCAACGCTTTTGGGAACCCGCAAAACTTCCTGAACTACTTTGGGGATGGCGCGTACGCATTTCTGAAAGAGCCGTATGAAGGCTTTCAGAAGTTAGCGCTCGATGGAATGTTTGGCGTTGGGAAGGGAGCGACGTCATTCTTTCGCAACGTGACAACTGGCCTCGCGGACACAGGCGTCAAACTAATCTCGAACCTGAATCAAGGACTCAGCACAATGGCGTACACAAACCACCCACTTACTTAGGATGAGTTTGCTTCTATCACTATGCATCCACCATATTTAGTAAATGTGAGGACGGGCTTCAGGCTCAGCTTCTTCCTCTTGATATTGAATATCTGCGCGAAATTTATGAGATTCTTCTCGTCTCTTCACGTTCACCATGTTCATGTCGTCCAAACTCCTGTCACGTCAAGTCCTCCTCTACTCCTACAAAAGCAAATCCGCACCATCTACAGGCTCGATCCGCAGTATAATAGTCAAGCAGCGCTACAGCGAAGGCGGTTCCACAACCAAGCCGATGCTTTACAGACGAATGCATCAGCATCAAGTGGTGACAGTGGTTCGGGAGCAACGTCCCTACAAGAACGCAGGGCACAGCACCAAAGCACCAGCCAGCAATCTAACAACTCGTTTGCGATGTTCGAAGGTGTTGGCCGAGGGGCTGAAAGCGTGCTGAAAGGTAAAACTAGAAAACTAGGACATCCACAACAAACTTACATACAGTATGGTGGCAACATATATTCTGAAAGATATTGATGCTCCTACTTGCAAAAAGTCTTCATATTGATACTTCTACCGGCAACCAAGTACAGGGTCAGCAGTGTGCTGCTGTCCTTTATTTCATCCCTCCTTGCAAATCTAGATCTACTTACAGTCTTCTTGAGAGCTGGGTCATGTTCTGAAGACCCACGCAGATGATAAACATACAGGTGTCGCGGAAGGTTTGGTTGGTGTTTTTTCTCAGCCCTATGAGGCCGTGGCTAGTGAGGATCGTTCGGTTGAGCGTTTCCTCGAAGGCACGGGTCGCGGCGTAGCAGGCTTGTTTGCGAAGCCCCTTGTCGGTGTCACTGAGGGCTTCAAGAACTTCCTTGAGGGTATCCGAGATCAAGCCATCGGAAACGATGACACTATCCTGAGGCATCGCGCCTACAGTATTCCTAGGATTCGACTACCGCGAATGCTCTACATGGAGGACCGCGTATTGCGACCATACAGTACAACGGACGCCAGAATCCGACAGTTCCTAGACGAGCACGGAAGCTCTCTCATTAAGGCTAATTCTGTACATCCACATGGTGCATTCGTCTCAGCGTTTATGGTAGTGCTACCCTTGGCGCCTTTACTAGTTATCTTTCAACTTTACTTGAGGGTTATGTTCTTGAAAAAGGCGCCAAGGAAGGACGCCTCCCGCACGAACAAGGATGCCCACAGACACGCTAGCTCCTCTAATCTCGGTAGCGATTCCCTTCCGTCAGCCACAACCCAGCAGCGCTTTCGCGGAAAAGCTGACCATGTATCTGACCGAGAGGCATATCTTCTTTCGCTGGCACCACAGCGCTCGCCGTGGCGCAAGTCCGAGAGACACAGTAATCCAGTTTGCACCCCATGCAGCATTTATGATGGCTATTCATGACAAGACTGCGGGAGAAGTGTTGCTGTCTTTCGAGTCTCCAGACGACCCCCAAAGTCGCAAGGAACTCACGATTACAGCCTCCGAAGCCGAAACCCAAGCTGCTAGGCGATATTTGTTCGCGATTTGTGCGAGGTAAGTACTAGCGTGGAGCTTAATCACTTTTGTTCCAGAAGTTGGAGTAGGACTCTGTTGGCGTTTATGACTCTCTCAGCTTTATACTTATTACTTTTATTTCCGAACAAGCAGCATAAGGCCGTCCTCTGTCGTTGATTGTTTTTTCCATTTTTTTTGTTTTTTCACAACTTACTAATTGGAACTAGGTTTAGTAATCATTCACTGACGTCTTTCCATCGATAGAATCCCAAAAGAGTAGCTCTATTCGTATTCTCAGGCATTTCAATTTTCTAAAAGCTGTCGCAGAAGAAACACGAAATATAAGCCAAAAACTTTTTTCCAGTGATGATCTTCATCGTCGTCGTTTGTTATCATTAGAATCGGCCATCTCCATTAGAATCAGTGTCATCTTTGTGATTGCAGGCACGTAGAGCGTTCTGCGCATCCATATGTCCGGAAGTCGTTATGTGTGTCCAGATTGCTTAGAACTAACAAAGTATCTGTGCAGTATGGTCGTGCTGCTGTAGTTTGTTGAAGTTGATTTATACTAGTAGCACAGTGAGGACGGTTGTGTGCCTGTCCTAGCTGTTGAGTTGTAAACAAACATATGATACCTCACAAAGCCAAGCTGCTGACGGAACCCTCCGAAATTCGAATAAGAGTCGCCCTCTGCTGTCCCCAAGCCCACAGCCCATGGACACCCAAAAAAGAACGACCCATGCCCAAACACGCCATCTTTCGACCATAATTGTCCTACTTGTTGCTGGCTGTGTAGTAGTTGGAAGATATTCATTTTCATGCTACGGACGTAGTATCACTTTTATCACTCTTGACGTTGGGCGTCGAAGTAGAGAACTCATACTCAACTTCCCAACTACTCAAGAACCGGATGGCGACGTGTTCTCACAACAGCAAAAATGTCTGAGAGGAGCTCTGCTATCTTAAACTTCGAGTCCAAGCGCCGCAGCCCCTTGGTTGATTGAAAGCCACTGGACATGGGGAGTCTTCTTTCTAACCTGCGGAGAAGCCCTAACCTGATGGAGTGACCGACTGATTTCTAGTCGAGCAATGAGCCTACTCTTTTCTACTTTTTTCGCGGTCCTCCTTTAGGTTCCTCCTGGCGTGAGCCTGCCTAGGTAAAAAAGCTATCGAGTGAAAAAGGATAAATAAGGTCTCGGCGGGTTTTCAGTCTAACGAGGACCTCCTAAGTGCCTGATTTCCTAGAAAAATTAAAAACTGAGAAAACTAGGACTAGTGGCATTTTTGATGAAGTAAATAGAAATGACTGCAGTGAGGATAGATACTGACGCACGTTATAGGTGGACGCAGAAGAAGCTCACCCATACAAATACGCAGCAGACGTGAGCGAGGATACTTAGTCTACAAAAGGAACATGAAGGCAAGAGGACCGATAGCGAGCACATGAAAACGAGTGCCATCGTCTCAAGTGGTTGTCGTTGACGTGCGCTGCCCGAGTAGTTGTTGACTCAACACGACGACCAGAATACTACTCTGTCGCTTTTTTCAGCCTCTACAACAACTTTCGCGTAGTAGTCACGGAGGTCGCGAACGTTCGACCGGAGCATAGCAGCCACGGACTTGCCAGCGTCAAAGGCTCTGGGACTCTCGTACACGGCGACGATTGTTTCCGCAAACGCACGGGGAGGATTGTTTCAGCGCTGGCGTCGCTCGTTCTGCTGTAGCTGTCGACCTCGAGGAGAGCGTGTCTTCACTGCATAGCGGAAGCAGCGACGAATACGCTACTTGTAGACTCCACCGCGCACGACGGCGACCACCACAAAAACAGCCTGAACAACCTACCAGAATTAACGAACAACAGCTCAAGTCTCCCTATAGTTGATCATATTATGATGCTTTCTAGATCAAGATGAGCGCATTGTCAACGCGACTTGGTTTCTCGCCAGCTCAAAGCTCGAACTTACCGATGGATCAAAAGGCCTGGGGTAGGCCTTCAGCCCCCAGTCTGCTGGGAGGGGTATTAGGGATGTTTCAACTACATCCTTTGGATATTCTGAGGTCTTTCTGCATGCTTATTATGTCAACATAGTAGAGGGCCATTTTTACGAACAACTTTTACTGTTGTACAACAAAAACAGTGATAGATAAGTATTTACTAGATGAGCCTCATCATCCTGGTTTTGCATGAGCAAGAGCAGGAGCTACATCATCGAAAACTTCAGCGCCAGCAACTTCTTGTTGATTTTCAGCAATAATTGTCTCAGCGTCAGCAATAGCATTCTACAGGCACCATTTGCGAAGAACGGCTATCCAATATTAGCAAATCCTGCAAGTGGCGCAGAGTGGAGAGACCAAGACGGGCCAAATAAAAACGAAGCTAGAGTATTAGCCCCAGGCCAGAGCGGTCATCAACCGTCAGGTGCAGAAAATTACGATTGCAAGTAGTTTCTTCTGTACTTTTGAATAGTTTCGCTTTTCTTTCTCCTTAATGTTGACCTTGTCCGTGTCGCTTGGTGTCTATGTCATGCGGTTCTACGTTCGCAATCCGAAATGATTTGAAGATCTCTACTTTCACGCCACTTCTATCAAAAATTAACTTGAGTCTTACTTGCAACAACTGTAGTAACTAAGAATGACCATGCAAATTATTTAGAGTAACTGTCTAATTAGCATGCTACTCAACATTACCAACAACCATCCCAGAATCATCGCAGCCAGTAGTGAGGCAGATGCCAGCTCCATATCCAGACACTGCGACGCCAAGGCTTTCGCTCCAAAGTGGATTACAGCACGGAGCTTCTATCCATGGAACCAAGAGGCCCAGCGCGCCAAGTAGTACTTGACCACTTACCCTCCTGATTTGCAATGTTGTAATTTCTCGGATCGTACTGCGCTTGAAGATACTACGTCGGTGCCAAATAATGACTCTACAAGGTCAAGAAGTTAGGGCGTGGCAAAGTATCTTTAGGCTAAGACATCGACTCGGTTTGCAGAGGGCCGCTGGTTCTGTTTTATCCGTCATTTCCATCTATTATTTATACAACATGTCAGTTGCGCACATCGAGGAAATAGAGTGGAAGGATTTGGAGATAACGCAAACATTAGGGAATGGCGAATTTGGCCAGGTTTTTAGAGGGACTTGAAGAGGGAGGCAAAACGAGAAAGGAGAACCTATGGACGTAGCAATCAAAGCCTTGTATCGGGACCCAAACAAAGCGGGACACGACGTGCAAGCGATAAACGAGCTAAAGAAGGAAATAGACTCCTTCCGAGGGCTCAAGCATAAGAGGCTAGTACTTTCTTCAACTGGTCGCCCTATTTATTTTTTATGTTTTGTTTTACACTTTGTCTCTGTCTCGCTTAAACCTAAGCGTCGTACTAGTAGTGACTTCTGAGACTGAGGACATGCACATCTGAGAAAGTGACCTTCATCCTCAACACCGTCCTACAGAGTCATCAATCAAGAATCCGCCAGGTCTGCTTTTTAGGAGCATGCTTTGAGCCTCCGCATCTCTGCTTCATCACAGAATACACGCCAAACGGTAAAGATTCATCATGTTAGAGCTACGAGCTTCAGAAGGTACTTATGGAAAGAATCAAGAACATAATATAAGCACATAGGTACGAGTTGCATAGCATCGACTGAACAGTCTTCAACTGAACTAGTGCGACCAATTTGAACCACGTAGAGGCACATCATTACAAAAGAAGAAAGTCACGCATTCGCAAAGCATCTTAGACTCGTACTCTTCTAGTCCCTCGCAAAAAATCACTCTCGGCGACAGCTATCCAGTGAATTTCTCACTGTCTCTCTACTCAGGTTCCCTCTACAATTTTTTGCATGTGCGCAAGGTGAAATTGCCAACAAGGCACGCGATGAATATGTCAATGCAGCTTTGCGAGGGTGTTGAATACCTTTAAGGCTTACCCTAGTCCATTTTCTGAAGCATCCTGCAGAGGCTTCTGAAGGAAAAACGAGGGGCAGGATACTTCCCAAGACGGATCAGGTTGAGCTCTAATACCTGCACACGCAAGACCCTGTGGTAGTCCATAGAGACCTTAAGTCTCTAAACGTGGTCCTCGATATGCAGTTCAACGTCAAGCTGTGCGACTTCGGGCTCACAGAGTACTACTCTCTTATAATTGTATAACTAGGGAGGTTGCCGCTGCAATTAAGATTAAGAGGACTAGTAGCGCTACAAGGTCTGTAACCACAAGCACAAAGGGGATAAAAAATGCTATCGCATATCTCTGCTGGCTTTTGCCTGAACTGAAGCTCCTGATGAACAAACAAGCGAATACTTTTCCCGAATATGTTCCCCCTTTCTACGTACTTCCACAAAGAGAGAATCGAACTTAGCTGCATCTTCTCAAGGTATATCGACAAAAATAACGCGCGAGGGAGGGGGCATAATGGAGGCAGCCCAAGATATATGGCTCCAGAGCTTTTCGACAAGAAGATGAAAATCACAGAAAAGATCGACGTCTGGGCGATGGCGTGTATTTTGACCTACAGGAGATGACGCGTTGAGCTGCTTTTAGAGTTAAGCTTCTCATGGTTCTAGTATGCTCCTGAGATATTGCATTCGCCATCTCTATCAGTGACTACAGTTACAGTTCTACGCCTCGATCTCAAATGAATCAACGACGACCCAGCAAGGCATCCGCTTACGTCACCACTTAAAAACGACTGCCAAAGGTATCTTCTGCGAAATATTTGGCGGCACTATTCCATATGATGGCGTCAAAGATATGCCGACACTGACGCACATAATGACCGTGAAGAAGCAAAGCCCTTCAATTCCAAGCCCCATCGAAATTGAAGCGGTATTTCACTCAGATGATGACGAAGCGACGCTTGTTTTTTGTGGAAGAGCGAAGCTCGCTGTAGTTCCAGTTTCCTTACATCAAAGACATCGAGCCCACTTATGTGGATTATCAAAAGAACTCGTCGGCTACTCTTCTCCTCTCCTCCTTGATCTTCGTATCTTTATCCTATCAACTCTATCTATAGGTAAAGCAGCTTATCCGGGAGTGCTTTCTTTTTGACCAAGACGCACGGCCTTCGTCCTCCAACGTTTTTATGAGGCTGCAGCGCATCAAAAAAGAGGACCCTGTAGCCGGTGGCGGGAAAAAAAAGAAAGGTCACAGCTAGCTTGTTGAAGAGTGGCGCTCAGAAGAGAGTGCTCCTCTTCAGAGGAAAGCACTCCTCTAGAGCTTGTCGACAAGAAGCCGGGTAAGATCAAGTAGACTATATGCTCAGGAGATGATGATGATGATGATGTAAACCCACCGATCGGGTGGGGCGGGATGCCATCTCATCCCTGCAATCGTTTTACCTAAGAGGGTCGCCCTCTTTAAGATAAAAGATTGCCCCTACTCGACCCCGCAGAGAGAGGCCAGACCCGCGTCCGCCACCTCTCCGGGGGACCCCAAGGAGGCGAGGGGAGCTCGTTTCGCTTGCTCTTACCCTCCTGCACTGCCTCCCCCTTCATCGGGGGGTCTCCCCTTAAGCGGCCCCTTCATTTCGGCCGTTTTTTTTTGCTGTTCTGCTCCCTTCGTGGTCTTTTTGGCCTCATTTCGTCCGGCGGTCCCTTTGCCAGGTCTCCGCCCTTTCTCTTCTTTTTTCTTCACTTCTGTGCTGGCTCCTTTCCTCTCCTTCGGTCTTGTTCTTTGTTCTCGTTGCTGCTTCCTCTTCATTGCTGTGGGGCTGCTCTGTGCCCCCCTTTTCTTGAGGGCGTTGCCCTTCTCCTCCTCTTGGTCTCCTGGCTGCTTCTTCCCCTTCTTCCCTTTTCTGGGGTCTATCAGCGGCTCCTCCGCTGGCCGCTTTTCTCCTCCAGCCTTTTCCGCCCCTGGGGGCTTCTTTGGCTTCTTCCCTTCCCTGAGTCCCTCCAGCGGTTTG